TTCACTATAAGGAAATAATAAAGGATATTGCAATGGATCATAAGCACCATGTAGTTCAGAGATTTTTTGTAACTTTCCTGTATGTGTTTTAAGTAAAATATCTCTTTTTTGAATTACAGTATTTTCATAATTTTCTAGAATAATTGCTGCAATTTCTGGTACTGTTGGTTGATTGTATTGTCTCATATCCTTTCCATGAGTACTATGAATTGTTAATGTTAAATCAGGATAATTATCTGCTTCAAATCCTGTTTGATAAAATACATTAACAAATGGATTGATTTCATATAATTCATTTTGAATTGCTTGAATCATATTTTCATTTAATGTTGGCATTAAATTCATTCGTCTTGCTACTTGATTATCCAAACTTGAATCATAAAAATAAATTTGTGCAAAATTTGGATCACATCTTCCTTCAATTTCTCTAGGTATTAAGGAACTAATTTTATGATATAAAGCTCCTTGTATTCTAAATGTATAAACACCTTCTTTTGCATTTGCTAATGTTTTATCAAGATTTACTTCTAAAGAAGTAAATGCAAATACTGAATTATATGCTCGAATTTGTTCTACAAATAATTTATTAGTATTAGGATCATTTGTTGTTAGTAAATTATAAAGCATATTTGGAGCAGATGCAAGTAATGCAATTTTAATTTGACCATTCATGTAACAAAATGAATTTGGTTCATTTTTTCATTTTAATACATGACAATAATTACAAATTATATTCATTGTTTTAATTGTTTGACGTCTATCTTCAATATCATCACCTTTAATCTTATTTTCATTATAATTTTCAAGTTCACATTGACCAATTTTATAAAATTGTTCAATTTGTTGTTGTCAAACTTTTTTCATATTTTCTCGATTTTTTCTTTTAATTTCTGTTTTTTGTTGTTCAGTTTGTAAAGCTCGATATTTTTGTGTTCTAAGTTTACTTGAATGAGTTTGTGATTTAGTAGAAGAACTTGCTTGAGATTCTTCTTGAATTAAATGTGGATTTAATTCATAATATTTATTAGTAGCATAACGAATACGTGCTAATCGATTTGTTTTTTCACATGGTGTTTCATTTTCAGAATTTTCAGGAGCAGGATTAGCATCAAGAATATGTTGAGGAACAGGTTTTGTATTTTTAGGAGGCATTTTAAGATGTCAATAAAATGTTTAAAAAATTATTTAATAAAGTTTTTAAAAAAAAATTTTTTTATATTTATAAAATTTTTCATTTATTTATAATTAAGTCTGTAATATAGATTACATAATTATTATTAATAATTATTATTAATAATAATTATTAATTATTAATAATTATTAATTAATAATAATGATTATTAATTATTACATAATCATTATTAATAATTATTATTAATAATGATTAATAATTATTAATAATTATTAATTAATAATAATAATTATTAATTATTATATAATTATTATTAATAATGATTATTAATTATTAATAATTATTAATCAATAATAATGATTAATAATAATTATTAATAATTATTAATTAATAATAATAATTATTAATTATCATTAATAATTATAAATACTGATTACAAATACAGATTATGAATGCAGATTACAAATTCAGATCATCAAATCACATGCCGTATCACATTTGTTATATACATACTAAATACGATACTAAATACGATACTAACTAAAATACAATACTAACTAAAAAATTGTATATTACGCTTTGTGCATGACGCTTATGCAAGAAATTAAAAGTCAGTTAGATGGATAAAAAAAAATTAATTTACCGTTTACATCCCGCTTACGCGGAATACGCGGGATGTAAATAGTAAATATCGGATTATTAATTTCTTGCATAGCGTCACACACAAAGCGTAATATACCTTTTTGATATAAACAATATTCTTATAATTATTGGCCAATATGGCATACAATTATCAATTTAATTAGATTATACAAATATAATATTATACTTTACAAAGTACTAGCTCATAAAGACAACATATTTAATAATAAAGCAGATAAGCTCACATCAAACCACAATTCAACAAATTTTCTGAATATATAATACAACAACATTTATAATACTTTATATACTATATAATATAATTAATATACTATTGAACAACTACCTAATAAGCAATTAAAAATATCTGCAATGCATATATAATAGCTATATGGTCATTTCAAAATTAGATGAACAATATTATTTCTCTATCTTCACAAATCAACTAGGAAGCAATCTGACTATATCTAAATAACAATATTAACAGAACTAGCTTATATACAAACTTTACATTTAGCAATAGTAAATTCTTTTAACAAAAGAAACTCTTTTTTGTAGATTCTTTGACCAAAAATTGATAAGAAGCAAAACACAAGAAAAAGCACAAAACCTATTAAGAAGCAATATTTAGACTCTTAACAAAAAAGAAAAAGTAGCAAAAGTTATATTTAGCTAAAAAACAAAGATTAAGTAAAAAAGCTTAAAGGTAGCATAGCTTAGAAAGATTAAAAATTTCAACAAAAACAAAAATTTTTGTAGAAATTTTGGAGAATCTCTGTGATCATGTTGCAAAAATCAATTTAAATTATATAAAAAGTATAGCAAATAAATAAAGTAAATAAACAATACATATATATTGAAGTAGTCTATTAAAATAAGCATATAATATAAAAACAACTAAACTAAACAAGCTAATGACTAAAATACATAATGAAGATATTATAGAGCATATTAAAGAAATAGAAGATAGAAATTACAAATATGTAGATTGCAAAATATTAGACCAAGTTCTTAAAATATTAATACAAGGCCTAAGAAATATAAAGCATATTGCAAAAGACTTAGCAATTTATAACCCAAAATACATTATATTACAGGATTTGCTAATATATAGCTAGGTATTAGAAGCCTTGAGAATAGCAGGAATAAGCTGGCTTAAAGAAAAAATAATTAACAAGTAAGCAGAAAAGCTTAGATCAATAAGCTACAATTCAAGCTTATTTGAATATAATACAAATATGAAAGAAGAAAAAGTATACCAAAAAGAAAATAGAAAAGAAAAAGTAAGAATTTTAGTTGAAACTAACAAAACAGAAAATTTTATTAATAGAAAACAGAACTAAGAAAAAATAAACAATTTTGAAGAGTTAGAACAAGAATTAGAAATACTAAAAGAACAAATAAAAGGGCTTAGCATCACTATATCACAACATCAAACAAGTCAAGCTATTAATAATTTTGAATATAAAGAAGAAACATCAACAGAAAGCAAAGAAATAAAATTAGAAACTATAGATATAGAAGTAACAAAACAAGAAGAAGAAATATACAATAAAGAGAACAAAACAATGTTTCTTACAAATTCAATTAAGCATAGTTATTAGTTTTCAAAAAACTGAATATGTAACAAAAATAAGTTCTTCAAAACAAATATGCCAACATATGCTTGATCAGAAAAAACTAAAGAAAAAAGAGTAAAGTATATTCAGTAGATTTTGAAGAAAAATTATCATATTAAAACAGTTAAAAAAGTATTCAAAAATGAAACAATTAGATAGAAATAGATTTTAATGATGAGCATAGTAGAGACATAGCAATGGACAGGATCAAGAAAAAAAAAAGAAGAATGCTGAAACTTATACTAGAAGAAACCAAAAACAAAACTCAAAATATAGAACAACAAGAGAAGTATAATACTAAAAGAAGAAAAAAAGAAAGCATAAAACAAATAGAAATTAAAAAAAACAATGAAATGAAAGAATCAAATGTTAAAAATAGAGAAAAAAAAGAAAAAGAACACAGAAATACAAGTCAAGAAAGAGTGAAAGTTAAAAATACAAAAAGCTTTCAAACAAAAAAAGGATTAAAAGCAGATAACTATCTAATGATTTGGGATCTGTCAGTAAATATTAATACAGAAGAAGTAAAACATATATGCAAAAGCATCAAAAATGCCAAAATAGACTAAATCAAGAGGTTCAAATACAAAGTCTTGGCAATAATATATACTAAAAGCTTAAATAAAAAAAACATTTCATAAGCCTTGCCAGTTGATACTCATAAACTAGCAAGAGTGTCTAAGGACAATGAAGATTATAGCTTATAAGACCAATACAACTAGTTCATATTAAAATTACTAGAGCTTCTTGAAAACATATCCAAAATGTTGCTACTGTAATGTTTAAGAAAAAAAAATGCTAAGTCAGTATATATATTAACAAACAGAAATAGTAATTAAAAAAGATCTGTAATAATTACCTTTGCATTAGAAAAGGAGATAAAGATAGCACAAACCAAACCAATAAGATTTAACAATTACTTGCTATTTTGGCAAGAGGAAACAAGAGAAAAGAAGCATAATAAAGAGAAAGCTCACTATAAGAAGTGCATAACTACATATGACATAAATGAAAACTCAGATACAGAAGTATATAAAAGCAAGAAAAGTGGAAAAAAAAGATACAAAAGAGTTTAATGAAAAGAAGCATTGCATATATTTAACAAAAAAAGAAGATTCACAGACATAAAACCAAGACCTTTTGAAAAAAATTCTTAAAAAACTAGAGAAACTTGAAGCATAACAAAACAAGATATAATAGAAGATAAAAGAAAATATTACCAATCACTTCTAATGGCACTACAGTTGAATTAATAAACATAAATCAGAAGATTGAAAAGTTCTTGCATAGTAAAAAAAGAATTTTTGAAGAAAAAAATATAGATGCATCTTCTGGCTATAATAAGAAACCAAAGAAAAAAGGAAAAGAAAAGATAGAAAACATAAAAACAAAATATAAATATTTGAAAAAAAAATAAAAACAGAGAAAGAAGAAATTAAAAATAGCATGTCACAATATCAACAGACTTAAAACCAAAGGATAGAAAGTAAAAAACCTTCTGAAATGAGCAGAAAAAGAAGAACTCACAATAGTAAAAATAACAGAAATAAATATTACAGAAAAAGAGAGAAAACTTTTATTGTATAGTTATAATACACAGTATAAGAGTTATTGAACTAGTGCAGTAATAAACAAGAAAAAAAGTTCAGATATAGGAATACTAATAGATGAAAAGTAAAAAAAATATATAGAAGTAGTTAAAAGAATCAGTAAATATATATTAAAAGTAAAATTATATTTTAAACAATTAGAATTAGTGATATTAGAAGTATATATTCTACCAAATAACAAATTAATAAGTAAGAAAATTTAGCAAAAAATTGTAAAGGTAGTAACAAACAAAAAAAGATATACAAAAGTAATTATACTTGACAATTTTAATCACACAATAGATAATATACTAGACAAACAACATCTGCAAACATCAAACTACAAAAAACTACTAATATTTAGCTAGCTTAGAAGACAAAACTTTATAGACTTATACAGAAATTTGTATCTGACAAAAGAAGCATACACATGGTTAAGTTAGAAGGCTACAACAAAAATAGATTATATTTGGCTATCAGAAATACATGTATCAGGTCTGCAATAAGCTAATATTAAGAAATCAAAAGGTTTAACAGACAGTGATTATAAGATAATAACAACAGAAATATAAGTGAAACACATAATTGCAAACAGCAGCAGTGCAGAAATTAAATATAAAAACCAAACAAAAACAATATATCTATACAAAGAAGTAAAACAAGAAGACTGGGAAGATTATGCAAGAGAGCTGCAAAATTAGCTAGAATGAAAAAAAGTGTTAAAATGACTAAAGATAATAATATAAAAACAGAATATAATATAGAAATACTAAACCAAATATGGAATGCAATAGAAAAAGCCATAATTGAAGCAGCAAACAAGCAAATCTCAAAAAAGAAAAATATTTAACACTAAGTTAAATAGAAGACAAGACCAGAAAAAGACAAAGAAATACAAACACATTATTGAACTTTAACAAATAATCAAAAAAGCAAGAAGTAAGAAGAATCAAGAAGTAGAAAAGAATGAAGAAGTTGAAACAAACAACAAACTCCAAATTATAGAGAAAGAATTAGAAGCAACATTATCAAAACTACACAAACAGTGGTTAGAAGCTTGGATAGATGATATTAAAGGTTAACAAAGAATAATTAAAGAGAAAAGAAAAGAGAAATAAGAACAGGCACAAAAGAAACAGATAGAAAAAACATAAACAGATGATATAAATA